GCGAGGCGCAGGAGCTGCGTGAGGCCCGGCAGCGCCTGTTGCGCCACTGTTTCGGTGACAAACCGGTGCTGCGGCCCGCCGCACAGATCCGCACCAAACAGCTTCAGCCTTGGCAGCCCAGCCGCAAGGTGGACATCATGGGCTATGACCTGCCTGGTGGCGGCGGCGCTGGCCCTGCCACCGAGGCCTGCATCAAGCTGGCCATGCCAGAAGTGCAGTATTCGAACTACCTGCTGCGCAAGCAGAAGCGCCGTGTTAGCGCCAGAGCCCGCCCTGAACCCGTCCTGGACAAACCACCCCCAAGACCCATCAGGGTACTGCCCCGAGGCCCTCAGGGCCCCTGAGCTCCACTTGCCTGACAGGTCCCGGCTCTTGTCTTTCCTCCCAGGAGGAGGCTCCCTCCAGGTCCTGTCCCATCTGGACCTTCTTTCTTTCTTTCCCAGGGCCTTGAACCCTACGGCAAAATTGGGGATGTGTCTCTCCATCTGAGCCGACCTCTCCAGCCTGGGCTGAATGCCACCTTGAGGGATGGTGCTGATACGCCCGACTGAGGCCTGGACCACTGTCTCCTTCCCAGATAGTTGGTAACTTTAACAAGAGGTTTAAGGGCCTTCCAGGACTGAGACCACCCTGCCTTTTTCTGGGGTCTGAGCCCCCCAGACCACCCCTCAGCCTTTTCCAAGTAGATGAGTGCAAGAGCCAGAGAAAGGCTGAGCCCTGGGAAAAGGCCGTGCTTCCTGTCAGGGTTGTGGGGCTCTCACTCTTCCCAGGGCTGTAGAAGCCGGTACTGTCTTCCAGGTTCTACTCCCCACAGACCTAAGCTGCTCCCAGACTCCCAGAACCAAGAGTTCTTGGATTGGGCTTTTTGTTTGGTTGTCCTTTTTTAAATAAAACATCTTTAAATTGTGCAGGCTGTATGTCAGTCATTGAAAGCCAGATTCCGCCGGGTGTGGTGGCTCACACCTGAAATCCCAGCACTGGGGAGGCTGAGGCAGGAGGATCTCTATGAGTTGAGACCAGCCTGGACTACATAGTGAGTTCCAGTTCACTCTCAACTACATAGTAAGATCCTGTCTCAACCCCCCCCACAAAAAAAGAAAGCCAGATTCCCCCACTTTGAGAATGATACAGATGTTTGGGCAGTGCTGTGGCTGTTTCTGTGAAGATGGAGACCCATACCTCAAGCTCCCCCAACTGCCCCTTCCAAAGGCCTGCAGCCTTCTTCTTCTTCTTTTTTTTTTTTTTTGGTACCAGAGAAGAACCACTGAGTTCAATCCCTGGCCCTCTGCAGCCCTCTTTGATGAAATGAACTTGCTTACACAGACCATGGCTACCTCAGCCCCACTCATTTTCCAGGTAATTCCTTTCACTCAGTTCAGCAGCATTTACTGAACATCGTTGCTGTAATTTGGGAAAGCAGGTAAACAAGTCAGAGAGGGTCTTTATCCTCACCAAGACACTGAAAAAGTTGTGGAAACAGGAAGGATTGTAGTCCTTACAGCACACAGCACTTCTTGGGCAATGCAGAGGCTGAATGGAGGATCATTTTTAGATAAGGAGGTCCTTAACTCCAATTTCACTTCTTCTGAGTCCCTGACCTCCTCATTGGCCTACCTTACCCACAAGGAGCTGCCTTACCCAGCTCTGACAGATGATCTTGTTTCTTTCTTTCTTACTTTTTGCCATTGTTGTTGTTGTACTGGGGATTGAACTTGGGGCGTTGAGCTTGCAAGGCAGGCAGCGGCACCACTGAGCTAAATCTTGGGCAGCTCTGACAGATGAAAACCAGTCTCTTCCTCAACTTCTTTTAGCACAGGAAGAAATCCCACACTGTGAAATGAAATCTCTCTAAAGACTAGGAGAGAATTGGGACTTTCTTCAGAGCTACTTGGCATATCTGGACAAGTAATAAAAATAATAGCTTATGTGGTCTACCATGTGCCAACCACTGTTTAAGAGCTTTACGTGTATTAACTGAGACAGGAAAATAAAGGAACTGCAATTTAGAGAGGTTAAGTGATGTCAAGTTCACACAACTAGAAAGTGGTCATGAGGATTTGGGGCCCAGACTGTAGCTTCAGAGTCTATGCTCATAAGTGCCATGCATAGTGTCATACAAGTAAAGAAGATCACATGCCACAGGATAGGCAAGCTCCCAGACCTCCCAAAAGAATATAAAATGAAGAACCAAGATGCTATCAGCTCCAATCATATTTCAGAAACTGATTGACCTTTTTGGGCAATAAAGATTGCAATTGTTGCTTGGTAGGTTGTATAATATTCTATCTTAATCCATTGTTTTTTGCTATAACAAAAACCTGATTTACAAGGAAGGTTTATTTTGGCTCAGGGTTCTGGAAGCTGGGAGCATGGCATTAACATCTGCTTGGCTTCTGTTAAGGACCTCATGATGGGAGGGCAAGTGGCACAGGCTGTAGAGGAACAGACAAAACGTAAAGGTGGCCTTGCTTTATCACAACATATTTGTGAGAACTAATCCTGTCCCCAAGAGCAAGAACATACCCGTGGCAAAGGCATTAATTCCTCCACAATGTAATCACCTGTGAAAGAGCCCACCTCCTCTCAACACTGTTACATTGAAGACCAAATTGCAACATGGATTTGGAAGGGACAGGCCACATTTAAACCATAGCATACTCCCTGGGCTCAAAGGGGCTGTTTGTACAGCACCCCAGTTTTTTCCTACTGGAACTCTGGAAAGGGTAATAATCAGAGTTATGCAAAACCATAATTTGGTTTCTGGCACTAAACAACAGAAGAAAATTGTGCTAGACTCAAGGTCTATCCTCTGGCTTCCAGGCCTAGAAAGTGTCTACTACTCTAACCCCCACTCCTTCCTCTAGCATGAGCCTCTGGCCATACCCCTACCAGCAACATCCTTTACCCTACCCTAGGCCCTACCCTACCCTACCCTAGGCCTCTCCTACCCTCCCCGGCCCTTAGGCAGGTGGGACTCCTTGGCACAAGTATCTCCAGCATTAGCCATAACCCAGCCTATGGGCCCCAGTTGCCTATGGCAAGTCTTCCACCAACACATACTTGGTGCTCTTCTCTCTGTGCTTCACCTACATAGTTCTAGAGCTTTAGCAGTGGTGAAATGCAGCTCCTGCCTCAAGGAGCTCTCCTCTCCCTAAGGGCTGGAGCAGATAGAGAAGCAGCCACTGGGTAGCAAGAACTCAGTGGAAATGTTTTGCCTGGTGATTAACCATCAGTGCTCTGGAGTTCAAATCTGGGCTTTCTGCCTAATATTTGAATTTGGCCTTTGAGCCTCACTTTCCTCCTCTGTGAAATAGTTTCCTACATGAGGTTTTGGGTCAGTATTTGAGATAAGGCACATAGCATAGTTTCTGACATACAGAGGAGATTGCTGTCACATCTGCATCGACAACACCAATATGTATATTGAGGTGCAGAGGCTGCAGATGGAAGCTCTCGTGTCATTGTAGGTCTGCTTGGCTGTGTGTTTTATAGGCTTAACCAGAGACACGTGTCTCCCAAATAGATCAAGATATTGAGTTGGATAAACCTGATGAAATGTGAAACTATGGATCCAAGGACTGGATCTATGACATATTCCAAAACTTTAACAACAACGCCTAGGTGGTTTTTCCATCAGCTATAACACCGTTCAATGTGGTTGCTATAATCATGCAGTTCACAGAGGACTTCATATGGATTCTTGTCGAGAAGAGTTGGGCTGGAGATTTAGCTCAGTGGTGCCACCACCTGCCTTGGAAGTGCAAGGTTCTGAGTTTGATCCCTGGTACAAAAAAGAGAAGGGGTGGGGTGGAGAAAGGAAAGAAAAGAAAAAGAAAAAAAAAGGAAGGAAGAGTTGACCCTGGAGAGTTCCACCAATTCCACATCAGTGTGAAATGAAAGTTATAAAAGCAGGACATTGTGTAAGTTGTATAATCAATCTTCTTCATTGACACTGGAAGAAGGGCTGACTGGCTCTCTGAGAAGACACATGCCCAAGATCTCACTGTCTCTAACATTCCTGGAGATAAAGACCAAAATGAAAGAGTTGTGACTGAGAGAACTCTGTTCTGGCTGAAGCAGAGTCCTGATTAGTACTGGCCAGAGGCACCAATGCACAGCAGATTTCTTTAGCCACCAACCATGACTGTCTCAGCAAGAGGGAATACTATATCCATAGGATCACCGTGGCAGACATTTTGGCCATAAGGATATTGCTAGCAGGAGGACTCTTGGAGATATTGAGACCTTCTACAACACCTTCACTGAGAAGATGACTCTCTGTGTTGCTGAACTCATCTGACAAGGACTGTCTTGCTACCTAATCTGGCCAGGGTTCCATACTGTAATCTGGGGAGCAGCAGGAAAAGAAAGTTGAAGAGAACCAAAGGTGGACATCTTGTCATTTTTTTTCCTTTTGAAAATTCTTTGAGTAAATGTCACATTTTCAGGCCAACCAAAGGAACTGTGAACAATTTAGACATTTTTTACTCTGGCATAGGGTCTTGCCTAAAACGCTGTCTCTTCTCCAAAAAAGCCCTAATCCATTTCCCTCATCTAGTCACCTCCTAGTCCCAGAGGTACCCCCACTCCAGGAATTTTCAATTCCTCAGAAAATAATCCAAAGGGCTGTCATATCGTTCAACCTCATTGGCCTGATCAAATTTGAAGGGAAATTGCACGGAGTTTTAAAAAGGGAGGCTTGCCAAGCATAGTGGCGCACTCCTGTAATCCCAGCACTCAAGAGGTTGAGGCAGGAGGATCGCTGCGAATTTGAGACCAGCCTGGGCTCCGCAGTGAGTTCCAGGTCAGTCTGAACTACATAGTGAGACCCTGTCTCAAAAAACAACAACAAAAAGGGAGGCTAGGGAGAGAGCTCAGTTGTAAACCACTTGCCTGGCATACGCAAAGCCCTGGGCACTGCCAGAGAAAGTGAGAGACAGAGACAGAGGAAAGGAAGGAAGAAAGGGAGAAAGGAAGAGGAGGAGAGGAAAGACAGGAAGAATGAAAGAAAAAAGAAAGAAAGACTGGGAGGAAGGGAAAGAGAAAAGGATAGGGAAAAGAGGTGGAGGAGGAGTAGGGAGGAAGAAGTTCCAATTATTCTGCAGGGGATGCTGGAGTAAGTGGAGTGACCAGAGATGAGAAGAAAGCAAGAGCATTCACAGAGCTGAGTGAGTCCTGTCCCAGCCCCACTGTGGCCCATTACTGGCAGGCATTGCACAGTGGTACACGGGTGGATGCCTCTGATGCAGACACTGAGATAGGCAGGGGAATGGCCTTGATGAGAACCTACAGATGCTGTTGGAAACAAGCACAGGTTAAGAAGAACCATGACACTAGCTACAATTTATTGAGCATTCATTGTGTGCTGGATGGTCTTTGTATGTAATGTGTCTGTTTTTGTTTTTGGTACTGAGGATTAGAACCCAGGTCCTTTGCACTAAGCTTCATGTCCAGCCCTTCTGATTTTTAATAGGAAACAGGATCTTACTAAGTTGCTGACTTGCCCATCCTGGGCATGAACTTGCAATTCTCCTGTCTCAGCCTCCCAGTGCTGGGATTATAGGCGTGTGCCGCCATGCCCAGTATACTTCATATATTTTAACATATTTGAATCTTGTAACACATGAGTTAGGTGTTATTCTTACCTCTATTTACAGAAGGGGAAAATGAAGTACAAAAAGGTGAAAGTGCCTAGCTCATCCAGCAGGGAAAAGTTAACCTGGGACAGAAACCAGAGTGCTCAGCCATCCAAACCTAGTTTCTACCATGGGAATACAGTCCCTGCAGCCTCCTTATCAAAGAGCAGATTTACAAAGGCCTCCTGAGAGTGCCCTTGAGTGGGAGGGATGGGCAGGGAGCCCAGGGCTTGGGGAGCCTAGGATAGGGTA